AAAAAAAAAAAAAACGAGAAAAACAGAGATTTTGGTCCACGGAGACTTACGAGAAATGGCGGTAGATGAAGAGAGAGAAACCAATGCCAACGTAATCGAGACAAAAAGCCACTGCGATTTGCAGCCAGCACTCATAATATCTGTGTGTGGAAGTGGAAGTGGAGACGAGAGTAGCACTAAACACAAATTCTATGTACCCAGGTTTTCTTATGAAACAATGATGAATTTGTTAAAGGTACCACTCGTACATACTTAACATCAAATACCCCATTATTTGACCATTGGGTTAATTCAAAATTGAATATCAACCATAAATTCAACTGAGGCAAAAAAGAATTTGCCTCGTACTTGACTCGTACACCTCGTACATGCCCAAAAACCTATTATACCCTTACTTTTTTAAATTTTATTTAGTTTAATTAATTATAAAAATATTAATTGTATTTACTTTCAAGGCCATTTATTTATCTTATTTGTTTAACAACCCTATAAATACAAAAACATACGATCACATTCTCAAATTTTGTAATATTACATATCATCTAATCATACATTATAATTAACGAATTAAGATTGTTCATGTTCTTCAAAATCTTCTTGCTTTTCAAATTCTGCTTCTTTTTTGTTGTGGGCCCTTTGCCTCTTCACTTTGCTCGGGGGCATTCTTCTCGTTTTTGGGTAAATTTATAGGGTGAGGGATTTGGAGGGAGCGGGCGGATGAGATCTCGGGCGAAATTCCGAAGCTCGGCTGGTGATAAGAGTTGTAGTGATTTGCAGAGAATAAATTTAGGTACTCTAATCCATTAGTGGATGCCATCACAGGCGGCGGATTGGAAGGCACATGGTCATCGATAGGGCCGAAAAGGGGTTTTTCAAAAATCAGCTGGAGATTCAAGGTGTTCTTGAGCGTGGAGGATGGTGTCTCGAGAAATCCCCAATTTCTCAAATTCAAATTTCCACTCCCATCCAATTTCTTTTTTTTTTTTTTCGATTAACAGGTAAACACTGCTTATACAAACAAAAAAGCAAACACCTTTGAGAACACTTAGTGGAGTAATAATACTGGTGATTTGAGAGATTTATCTGACGGCAAACCCTACAGATAAAAACACACAGAAGACATTAACTTTGTATCGAAATGAATCCCTTTCGCATAAATGTACACGATAATGGATATAATTAATCGGCTTTGAAGTCATATCGTCTTCATATTTTGATTGCAAAATGTTCAATCGTTTTAAATTTTTGCTGCTGCCGGTGGTGTTCTTCGGAAATTGGAATCATGGAATTGACAATTGATAATACGATGAATATATGAAGATGAAGTCAGATGATGATGTGAAACAGAAAAATGTAATTTCGTAATAATAAAAGATTTATTTGAAGATGAATTCAGATGATGATGGAATACAGAAAAATATGTAATTTCGTAATAAGAAAAGATTTATTTGAAATATGCTAATGTGTTTAGGTATAATAAAAATATATGAATAATGAAACACCTTTTAAGTAAATATATTTATAGTTAAACATTTTTTAATTAGTATTTTTAAGTAAGGGCATTTTTGTACTAACTTATATAATTTTTTCATTTTTTTTTAATTTAATTATGAAAAAGGACACTTGGCAGGAATTGAAGGGGTACCTGTTGTTATGCATGTACGAGGCATGTACGAGGGTACCTGACAGTAGAATGACCCATGTGTTAAAACTAGAGAGGAAAGAGAGAGAATAGAGAAAATGTTTTTGGTGTGTTCTTCATTTTAACTGAAGTTTTTATTTATAAGAAACTTCTGATGGCACAACTCGTAATAATACAAATACATGGAGGCAAAATAGTCATTCACATATATTATTTTATAATTTCATAACATTCCCCCTTGAATGACTATTTTCTAAACATATTTTAACTAATTTATACAATGCCCATTCTGCACATCTTCAAGTGTATCTTGTGACCATCAGATACCGTTGCTTCAGCATGTCAAGAAAACCCGGTGGGACAAAACCTGATCATCGTGAAATCATAACATTGTTTCTTCAGGAAAATCTGGTGGGACAAAACCTGAGCATTGTGGAAGCACAACATTGCTCTCCCTCAAATAGATCATCTTTAGTGGAGTATCCACGTGTTACCTCGTTAAAACCTTGTTAAGAAAACCCAGTGGGAAAAAACTTGATCGAAAGAAAAAGAGTACAGCTACTCCATTCTCTTCTCATCATCATGAGGAATCACATCATTTATCCTTTAGTCCTCATTATACCATGAATATGCCTCGTTAAAACCTACGAAAAACCCAGTGGGACAAAATCCTAATGAAGAAAAAAGAGTACACTATTCATGTGAATACGTCATCACTGTTGCCTCATTTAAAACATTGTTGGGAAAACCCAATGGGACAAAACCTCAGCCAAGGGAAAAGAGTACAACGCGTATTCCATATATTCACCATAATAATTGTTCCATAATACGCATGAGTATCGTATAAATTCGTTCAGATTTTCAGATACTGATGGTATTCATGATAATATGCCATATCATGCTTTGTGCAACTTTTATTCTTAAACTCATTCTCATCATCATTGATTTCAATGGTCTTACTTCAATAGTTCCCAATATTCACATTTCATTTGATTTCATTATTGTCAATATCATTTATATAACACTATTCATTTGTTTGCATTGACACTTATTTATTTCCATTATTCCCCGTAGTATATTGAGATATCTCATTATCAATTGATTCCATCAATGGTATATATATGCCTCCTTTCATCACTTATTTGGGGGATTTCAATTTGCACAATATCAACGCTTCCAGCGTATTATTCCACCATCATATCATTTCATATATTTCACCATCATCAGTATCATACAGTTTATGATTTGCACACTTTCAATGTGATGCATATATCATTTCAAAATTTCAATCATTGATTCTCCCCTCCATCTTAACAGATCCCTGATCAGTATTTTCAATATTGAATTTCTTGAGGGGAGTTCATATAATCCCCATTTCGTTCTCGATTTCAACATATAATAGGAGGACTTTGAACTCATATCACTTGTAATGTGCACATTTTTTTTCATGAGTTCACCATATCAACTGAGTATATTACTAGCTTCATCACTTTCATATGACACTTATTTTCATTCTTTCATAATCATCTTGAGTCATTCTTTGATCAAATCATCTCGTAACTTCAGGTTACGTGTCATATACACATTCTTTGATAAAATTATCTCGTAACTTCAGGTTACGTGTCATATATCCATTATTTGATCAAATCATCTCGTAACTTCAGGTTACGAATCACACACATGTGGCTATCTAGTGGATCCATAATATCTAGTAACACACATGGAGGGGTAGTGGGCCCATATATATATCATACCCCTTTCATACTCATATTGATCAAATATCGATTCATAAATATTTAGCTAGTAATAACTTTTACCAATCGAGAACGAAGCATCTCATATCACAAATAATCAGTTAATTATGAAAACCATCATCATTATTTATACCAGTAAACATTTTTAAAGTGATCACAATAATTCATTGTGCACGTTTATCACAAACATTTCACATCATCTTTCGGCGGCAATAAATGCACTTTAAGTGCAGATTCTGATACACAATCTTTAAATCCAAAATCGCATCACATGCGTATCATGTCTTCTGACATATAGACTTTTAAACTCTGTTTTAGAGTCGTATTGCATACGCATCATTTCTGTAAATTATCAGGTAATTAATTCAATCTTCCTCAACAAAGATCCGAATTTACAAATAGATCTAGCACTCTCAAATATCCGTAAATATTATCCATTTGTTCCAGTAAATATCATAAAAAGGATTTATTAATCTCGATTAAAAATATTGAGGGTCCTCATGAATAATGGTATTCCAAATGATGTTCGATGGTTGATCGAAGCACAAGTTCAGTTGTCTGGAGAGTTTCTAAATTCATATAAATATATGCCAGACATGGGTAAAAGTACTTTTGCAAAGAAACGAAGAGAAAAAAGATTAGGTGGATGCTTAAAATGCGCTCGATGGACCTGTGACACACGATGTAAATCTGTGGGGTACGTGTCCAGAAATCGAGAAGATAAAATAGCATTTATAAAGGATGGATTGAGTCTGGATCAAACGATTCAACAGATTCTTGAGACACATTGTAACGCCCCACTTTGATTTTAAAGAAATTCCAGACTTTCAGAAAAATCAGAATAAATTTTTCAAAATTTATTTCAAACATTTATGGCGTTAACTCATTTATTTCAAATCATTACCATAACATAAATCATCTAACTCCCGAAACGGGATTCATAAATCCATAAATCATCATTTCGCCCAAATTGGGTTCCCAAAATAAAACATAAGTTTTCAAGACATAACAATGTCAACGGGGCATCTCCCCAATAGTATCTCAATACTTCAATTCTCAAAGTTCGAA